TAGAGAGAGGCAGAATCCTCAAATCGCTCAAGAAGTTCGTCCCCAATTATAAATGGCAGCTAACAAGCAGGTGAAAATATGCCTCGTGGGGGTGACAGGAAATGGAAAATCCACTCTTGGTAATATGCTTCTTGGGCTCGCTCCTGATTCTGTTGACGGCTTCGAAATTAGCCCCGGAGCTAGGAGCTGCACACTTGACGTTCAGTGTAAAAACGGAAACTTCCGAGGACGACCAGGTCAGCCCATACGAGTCATCGATACTCCCGGTCATGGTGACGGAGAGGGTCGGGACGAGGAATTCAGAAAGGACATGATTGCCGAAATCAAGAAAGAGGAGACAATAGATGCTTTCATTTGGGTGAAGAATTCTCAAGATCCAAGATATAACAAATCGGAAGCCGAGTATTTCCAAATCCTCATCGAGATATTTGGTGGAGCCTACTTTCACAACTTCGTGGTTGTTTTCAGTCGATGGAGTTTCAGTGAATCAGAGGAACAAAGGAGGGGAAAACTTCGAGACCCTGTGACTTTGGAAAGAGTGAAGACTGAGCTTTGGGCTTCTTTTCTCCGCGATTACAAAGGCAACCGAAATCAGGTTCGGGTGCCAATGATGGCGATCGATGCTCTACACGACGTAAGTCAGAAAAATGAGGTAGACGCTTTCGAAAAGGAAATGAATTTGCTCTGGGACACCATCAGTAAGTTCAGCGCCAGACCAGTGAACAACATCGAAATGGCTCTGACGAAGATAGAGAAAATGAAAAAGGAAATGGAAGACGATCAACGGAAGTTGAAGGACATGAAAAGCCGGATGCGCTCACTGGACCAACAGAAACAATTGGAACTGAAACTCCAGGAGGCAGAATTCCAACGCCGCATCAAAGAAGCAGAATCGAAAATCAAAGAAGAAAAGGAGAGAATCGAGGGTCCTCCTTGGGTCAAGTTCATCTCCTTTCTCGCCTCCGTACTCTTCACAGTGGGGAAAAGGTTATTGGGAATACCCTTCTAAAAAAGAAAACTTCACCCATTCAATATGTGTGGTTGACTCATGTGAATTTGGTTGAGTATTGCGGAATTCTGGTATTCAAATATGAATGCCTGTATTCGGCTATCGTTTTTCCATGTTTAAATTGTTAGGTTTGCTTTAATTTGCTGCTAGTTTTCTAGATGTTCATTTTGGAAAAGTCTGCATTCTTCTAGAATTTCTCATAAAAGGCTATGAACCCTTCTGACAAGCTTCCCACTCTGCATTGTTACACAGCAGATTTGTATTCTCTATCGCTTTATGGTTTAAACTTAAGAAAAGGAAATTGTAGTTAACTAGGAAACTCATATTTCTCCATCAATCTTGCATCATGTATGCTTTGTTCTGTCAATTGCTGCCACCTTATGTTTCCATTCCATCCTCATCATATTTTAAATCGCTTTTCAATAAATGGTTGCTGTGACTCAAAATCTTTAAATATCACAATGAGATACCCCCAAGAATAATCTTTGTTGGCTTTTTCCTTCCCATCTGATCACGTCAGCAACTGAGAAGCTTTTGGGCATTCCAGCAGGCCGACCCTGCCCATGCTTTATCACAGCCGTCTTGCTTCGTGGGAGCGCTTATACTCCATCGATCCAGTTGTCCGTGAGCGAAGCGAAAGACCGATCTCGCTTACTCGACACATCACATCGAGAGACGATGAGAACGTCCATGGACATCTACCAGGCGTTGCTCATGTCAAGTTAGATAGATCGTTCATAGATTAGTTTATTCGTTTATTCGTTTCAACAGCGAAAAGGGCAAACGTATAATATTGAAACGCTGTGGGCATGTATTGTGGGCATGTATTATATGTTCACTGAGGATGGATTTCAGCAAAAAAATTATTATATACTGTATATATAGACGATCGTGAGTAGCCGACTGACTGATATAAGTAGCTATTCGCATGCTGAGCTCAGGAAAAAGTCTACTTTGGTGATACATGCCATAGGGGCACAACTTTTCGGGGAACATATTTTCAAATAGTTCTCTTTGCTTCAATCAAACGGAGACACATGGAAAGCTGAAACTTGGCAAGCACGTGACTGCTGAAGCACTGAGCNTTTGCTTCAATCAAACGGAGACACATGGAAAGCTGAAACTTGGCAAGCACGTGACTGCTGAAGCACTGAGCTCAAATGTCAAACGTCAAATTTCCAAAATATTTTTGAGGTTCATATTTCTTGGGGACGTAACGTTTTCAAAGAATTTTTCATATCCTACTGAATCGGGCAAAAATAGAAATATAGCTGGCGCACGCAAAACGGACGTGATGTTGATTTAAGGAAAAATTCAACTTTTGCTGTGCGTCTCCTCAGAGCGCAGCTTTTGGTGGGTTATTTTTCCACCAGCAAAACGGGGAAACGTATAAGGCTGAAATTGGGTGGAGTCTACATTTCAGAAGATAAAAAATTTTCGTTAAAACACATCAAGACACTTTTTTTCAGTCCCATTCTCTTGAATTTTTTTTTTTTGATCCAACGAAACAAATACAAAAATTTAAACTTTTCTCAGAAGTACCTGTTTGATGGCTGAGTACAGGAAAATCCTACTTTTGAAATATGTCCCCTTAGCGTAGATTATAGGAAGGAAGTATTTCATAATATATTCACTCTTACAAAAAGGGACACTAGAAAAGTTTTCAAGTTAGGCACACGAGAAATAATAGAAGTAATGATTTTGTTAAAAATCAAGACTTTGGTCCCAATATGTCACGTATTTCAATGGGGACGTACATTAAATACGTGTTTGCCATTTCCAAAGAATAATTGGATTAATCACTACCAATGGTAACGGAGCACGACCATAGCGAATTTGTTTGCCCGAGGGGCAAACAAACTCGCTAGTTCTTAATACATATGGAACTACATTTTGTTCATGTACAGACCCCATACATGGTGCTACGTTTGCAATACATATGACACAAATATAAATTATAAAAAAAACTATATTTGGATATTTTTTCAGAACTATTCAGTCTGTGTCATGTTTGAGCTGTCCTATATCTGAGGCACGTGCTCTCTGCGAGCCGACCTATGGATGTTATTGTGCGAGGGTACCCGCTTAGGCGCCACGTCTGACCTCTGACTCTTGACCACAACTAAGAGATCATTTCCAGCGATCTGACTAATTAATTCTCAGCAACCTCTCTCTCCTTTTCATGCGGATAACCATAGACTGGAACCAGTCATGTTTACATTTTAACCCAGTAATTCAGCTTCTATTAGTCCAGAAATTAAAGCCTGTGCTCTAGGATCGCAAGCCCGTGAGGAATGAGCTCTCCCCCTTCCTCATCATAGAGAAGGAAAAGAACTTCAATTGGAGCTAACTATATCTCTGAATACTTATCGCATACGGGGTTTAAGCATCCCCTTGGTATTAGAAACTCCCGCTCTCCTGAACCATTCACATTGGGATTAGACATTCCAGTCTCATCGAGTGATTAGGCGTATAGCATCTTACTGGAAATGCTAACAATATTATAATGAATCCCCAGAACGTTTCATTCAGGTTTAGCCCTATTTATACGAACAAATTCGATGGGAGGGGGGGCAAGGAGTTAGAGGAAACAGTAATTCATGAACTCATTCCCCAAAAGAGGCAAATCAACTCAGCCAAACCTCATGGCAATTCCAAAGGATGATTTAACCTGACTCGATGAGCAGAGTATACCATATAAATGGATTCACAAATGAAGGAGATGGGAAGTACCCTTTCATCCCAATTCAAGACGATTGGGGTTGAAACCGCCATAACCCTTTCAGACCTGGCGTTCATTCCAATGGACATTACAATTATGATGTGATTATGGCAATTTCTTAGGATTCTCGTGACTTTGTACTCCATATTATGCTAGAAAGGGCGCAATTATGCATGGCTCAGTTCTGTCAGAGAGAATGGGTTATTGCAGCAGTTCGGAGGCTTTTAGAATAAATTTCGCTTTTTACATTTGCCTTCATCATAATCAAAATAATGCTTTGCCATGGAGTTGTCCACGATGCCTTGGAAAACAAAACCACCAAATCAACAACCCTATCCCCAAACAGGAAAGGTTCCATCAACCAAGGAAAAATTGAACCGAGTTACCGAATTGACCATTTTCACCCTTAAAGTCTCTGAAATAAGCCCGAAGTCATTTCTATGTTTAACAGTGACGATGTGAGTGACTCTTCAAGAAGGAGATGGTTATTAACAGAGTCGATACTCTTTGGTCAGAGAGACCAAGACGTCCGATCAAAGAAAGTACTACGAGTTCCAATTTTTTCACGGGGTCTAACTTCTCGCAAGAAAAAGGGATAATCAGATACAATGTAAATAATTAAGAATCATTAAATAGAATCTTTCTAGTATGCACGCACAACGGTTTTCAAGTATATCGTAACTAAAACGAAAATTCTATCCATACAGATGGTTTCAAAAGGAATGAACGCTGTTCAGTGAGTTCCATTTTCATTTTTCGATATAAATGAGTTTTTTCTGACTTGCGATAATATTTCACGGCGAAACAACATCGTAATATTGCAAAGTAACTTGGTCCATTGGTGACCACTACAAAAAATGGAATTTCATGGAAGGTGGAATGGGTGAATCATGAGTTAAATTACTTTCGGGAAGTCCAGTCAGTTTAAAGTTATCAGCTTCTGATCAAAGGAGGACACCGTAAGGAACAAGGAATTCCTTGTTCCAACCACCAGCAAGAATCAAAGGAATGCACCATATTGCATGGAAAGAAAAGCTGTAAATGCATGACTCACCCCGCTGATAGGAACGAAAATAAAAAATGATAACGCCCTCCTGATAACGAATCTCAAATACCATCGCCTCTTCCAAGTGTTATGGTGCTTTCAATATGTGAACTTCATCAAAAAAACCTGGTGTATTGAGGTTGTAGTCAGGTCTGAAAAGTGAGTTCTATTCTGGAGAGAGGTAGAATCCTCAAATCTCTGGAGAAGTTCATCCCCAATTACAAATGGCAGCCAACAAGCAGGTGAAAATTTGTCTCGTGGGAGTGGCAGGGAATGGAAAATCCACTCTTGGGAATATTCTTCTCGGGCTCGAGCCCGACGACGATGGCGGCTTCGAGACTAGCTCTGGAGCTAGGAGCTGCACACTTGACGTTCAGTGTAAAGACGGAAACTTCCGTGGAGGAGCAGGTCAGCCCATACGAGTCATCGATACTCCCGGTCACGGAGACGGGGAGGGTCGGGACGAGGAATTCAGGAAGAACATGATTGCCGAAATGAAGAAAGAGGAGACAATAGATGCTTTCATTTGGGTGAAGAATTCTCAAGATCCAAGATATAACAAATCGGAAGCCGAGTATTTCCAAATACTCATCGAAATATTTGGCGGAGCCTACTTTCACAACTTCGTGGTTGTTTTCAGTCGATGGAGTTTCAGTGAATCAGAGGAACGGAAGAGGGGAAAACTTCGAAACCGTGTGACTTTGGAAGGAGTGAAGACTGAGCTTTGGGATTCTTTTCTCCGGGATTATGAAGGCAACCGAAATCAGGTTCGGGTGCCAATGATGGCGATCGATGCGTTACACGACGTAAATGAGCAAAATGAGGTAGACGCTTTCGAAAAGGAAATGAATTTGCTCTGGGACACCATCAGTAAGTTCAGCGCCAGACCAGTGAACAACATAGAAATGGCTCTGACGAAAATAGAGAAAATGAAAAAGGAAATGGAAGATGATCAACGGAAGTTGAAGGACATGAAAAGCCGGATGCGCTCACTGGACCAACAGAAACAATTGGAACTGAAACTCCAGGAGGCAGAATTCCAACGCCGCATCAAAGAAGCAGAATCGAAAATCAAAGAAGAAAAGGAGAGAATCGAGGGTCCTCCTTGGGTCAAGTTCATCTCCTTTCTCGCCACCCCACTCATCGCGTTGGGAAGAAGGCTCTTTGGAAAATAAATTCCTGAGTCCGTCTTGCGTTTTTAACGTTTCAATTGTTTTGTGCTTTTTGCGGTTAGTTCCTTAGGGATGGTCGTCTTGTAAAATCTTCATTGTTGGGAAATTCCTTAGAAAATGCGTTGGTTCTCATTGTGATTCTAAATATATGCATTCATGCATTATTCTATGTCTGTTGGTTGTAACTTTGCTTCCCTTCCACCTTTTTTTATTTCACTGTCTCATAAATGGTACCAGTTTCTTAAAATTTTTAAATATCGCTTTGAAATGGGTCCAAGAACGAACTTCGCTGGATTTTTCCTTCCCATCCGACCCCGTTAGCAAACAAGAAACCTTTGGGTATTCCAGCACTCCGAGCCTTGTCATGCTTCATTCAAACCGTTGCTTTCCCTTTGACGCTCTAACTGTACTGATCGAATTGTCGTGAGTGAAATCAAAGGCAGCTGGTGTTTACTTGCCTAATCTCATCGTGAGACGATGAGTACGCCTATGGACATCAATCGGCCTCTGCTCAAGTGATGCTTGAGTAGTAAATTGATCGTTTACAGATTCCTTTTTTTGTCTAAATTCGGAGGTATTTTCGTTTCCCAAATTTTTTGGTTCACAGGGTTCAGGCAAAAAGAAATTTAGAGTCTTCATGAAATATGTGACTCATGGAGCTGCTAAAATCTTGTATCAGTGTGGGAGTCACAGCGTTTGGGGGAAAAAAAGGGCAAAATCTCATACTTAGAAGTATAAAAGATATTTGAGTACTCTAGAACCCCCCCTAAGTTGTTTCGTTTCCAGGAAGAGGTTAGTTACCTGAACAGGCATTTATAGGGTATGCTTTAAATCCCCCTGTATCCTTTCAATCAACTGGATCCATTCTGAATATTTTTAAAAATTCTTCCCACACTTGTTCGCATCCCCTGGCAACAGAGCCACCCATTGGTCTTATGTGAGAATAATTTTTGGAGGGAGAGAAAGCAGAAGTGTGGTAGGGTGAAAACCATTTTTGAAGCCTGTCCCTATTTTTTCAATCATCCCTCTTCCCATCCCCCATTTCTCTTCCCCACTAGATTCCTCTAGGTGGAGCAGTTTGCAGGTGAAAACTGTGTAGGGATGCAATTCAGCTGCAGACCTGCCATCTGACATTTTTCTCGAATAATCAAGATTTCCACTACAGGATTGAGCTGAATATCACTCGTCTTTGTTGTGACTTGTGTACATTGTGTACGTGCGTACTACTCGAAATGATTCGGCATCAGTATAATGGAAACGAAAAAGGAATTTCTGCCCAGAGGTATATCCCTAGATAACTCAAAAAAACCCTTTGAATGGTCTTTCTCCGAAATAAACACAGAAAAATTAACCAATGTCTAATTACATTTTGATTCATACCTTCTGACCTCTTCGACCGACTGTGTGGAGCCCCAAAAATTTGCATTTTGTGATTCCAGGTGTAACTGATGACTTTGACATGGAAACGATCGCACATGTCCCAATAGGAGTTTTGCGGATTAATATCTAGTTCAATTCTATCGTAAAAAGTACTTGAGTCATGGAGGCCACGCTATTTTTATTGCAGAAGACCTACCCATGAAAATGTGACAAAACGTCCGTTATAATTGTAGTCACCCGCATTTGTATAACTTTTTTAATGTTACCGTATCGTATACGGTAGCACTTTAGCATTTAAACCACCGCATATTAAGTAGAACAGGAAAACTTCAGCCTCTAAGATAATTCTTTCTTTATGTGAAAATAACATGTTTCCAAGAGTCTCCGAACTTCAACGTTACACTCTTAGAAAAAAGGGAGCGATTTTTCTCAAAAAAGAGAGTAAAGACGAAACTCCAGTTCACCACACTTTCACTCTAGGAAAGGAGCGAATTTGGTGCATCACCAAGGAGTAAACTTGCTCTCCTCCTCCGTGAGCAAAAGTTCTCCCCTCAGAAAGAGATAGGCATGTCATGCAAATAGGCAAATCCATATATATACTGTGTGCTGCTTTCGCTCTCGATTTTGTCAGTACAGACGTTTACCTACATCTAACTGTACTGATCACAGTACATGTCAGAGAATGGACTACCTCTAACGGTTTCATGATGTGTCCACGATATCAGTTCTTCATTTCCTGTTTCTCTCAGCAAGCTGAGGAAAAAGTCGAATTGACTGCACGGACACCCCTTTCGTATTCTAGATCTCGTCTGCGGATGAAGCTTTTAAAACTTCAAATGGGTTCTCATCACGAATATGAATTTCTTCATGCCCTAGGCTCCATGCCTCTGTCTCGAATATGTTGATAACAAAAGGAAAAAGCGTTTCCTCCAATAATGAGACAAGGTCCAATAATGAGACAAGGCGAGACTTATAACGAGGCACTAAACAATCCTGCGAGGGATGACTTCCGGGAAAGAGGGAAGAAAACTTTTGTGTACTGTGAGAAAAATGAGACCATTGCCTCCATCTAGTGGCCTGACAAAAAACTTCAAGGTGTTCACTTCCATGCAAGAGATGAGGGAGGATTTTTTGAGTAACTAGGGAGTACATGTGAAAAGCTCACAGTGTGCTCACTTTTTACTCCCTAACCGCCAGGAATTTCCTACGAGTGTACATCGAGATCACTGAATGGAGAGAATTTTTACCAGAATTGACCTTACCAAGGTCCATGATAAGCGAGGCGGCATTTCTGCGGTCTACAGCAGGAATCTCACCCCGGCTGACGAAGATAGGAATCCTACACAGTGGAGAGATAAATAATTGATGGGATGCATCCGTATCTCTTTCATGTGTTTCAGTTGAAGAAGTCGTTTAATCTACTTCTGGACAATATGACAGGAGAAACTTTTTTGCAGTAACATGGTAATATTTCGACCTCGATACGCACTCATTTTGTTGCTCTCGCGAATATATTTCTTTTTTACAGAAATTAATCTTTGACTTTTTTCAGGGCTTGCACCCTCTGTCTCAAGGCGTGTTTCACGGTTTCCCCATTCGTCTATCGAATTCCTCTGATATCAGAGAGGAAGCCATGTCAAAGAGAAATTGAGATAAGGAGAAATCACTTCTTCGGGATCATCTGAGTCCATAGGCACACATCAAACTAGTTTCAATTTGTAGGTATGAACTGGAGGAGCTCTTGGTCTAAATAACTCATTTATATTCATTGCATTTTCTTTTTTCATGTCAGTGCCTTTTCAGGAAGTCAGAAAAGACGAGAATAGCAAAATGCTGGAAGCACTGTAATAGTACCTTCTCCCGAGCATCGGTTTCTTGGTCCACAACCGTCCGAGTGGACCTCTGCTGATGCGATGGACCGCATTTACCAGCCAGCCAACTTCCCCTAGAGCACTCGAGAAAGGATGTTCATGAGCCTGCTCAAAGATCCGCTCGTTCAAATTGTGCGTGCAGGGGATCGCGACCTCCCAGAGTGAAAACCAAAGGGAATCTCCGCGGGAACGGATTCCGTTAGCGGCGATAAATGGCTTTGTCTTATCTTACCACGCCTTCCAACGGATCACGATTCGGAAAAATCCTCACAGTACTCAAGTTAGTGAAGCAAACCTTTCATTATTCAACCAAGTATCACTGGGTAATGAGCTTGAATCACATTACACTGCGAAAATAATCGAAATAGACCCCTTACCGACTTCGAGACTTTCCAGGCCGACATGCCCTTCAGGGCTCAGTGGAGTAGTGAGTCGTTTCATATTTTATATAAATGTGAATCCATTAAACCATTACGTAAATTGACGCAAGGATGACATGGCAATCACTGCGACAGCGCGGAAAGCTGACTGGGGATGGAATTTGAAAGGAATTGGGAAGAACTGTTTGAAACACATGATAATAGTTTCGCTGCAAGAAGAGCGATGCTTAATTACTAATTTTTTTAATTGCTGAGCGATGCTTTTAATTAATGCTGTGAATAGAACCTACGTGTGCAATGGTACTTGTAAAGCGATTTTTCGGAATGGAAAGTAAATCCTCTTATGGAAAAGGAAATAAAGATTAATAGAAATATTTCCGCTTATACGAGGGTCACTCAATAAGTTATCTACCTGAATAAGAAAGAAACATCC